GGTGCTAACCACTGAGACACCTGCAGCCCATCATTCTTCATGCACTGGTCAATTTTGAGAGTTTGAGATGTTTTGCGTTCCTTACTTGTCTTTTTTTAGACTAATGGGAAAAAATATATTAAAAAATATACATTAAGTGTTCATTTTGCTTTCTCTGTTTGCATCCATAGGTTTTAACTCGGATACGTATCTTATTACTCTGAGCCTGAAATCTCCACCTCAATAGAACTTACATCCACCAAACTTTCCAGTTTTATTCCTGTCTGTATTTTAAAGGTTTTTACGAAGGGATTTGTTCATATAACAGCCATAGTCTGATTTATGGGACCTTTGTTCTTGCTCTTTTCTCTCTCTGGCTGTTGACAGTTCTGATTTATTAAGTGATAAAAAGAGATATCTATAAAATCTTCTTGACAAAAACCTCATGTCAACAAAGTGAAGCAACATTCTGTCGCCGACTTCCTCCATTGTTCAGATATCTGTTCTAGAAAGTTATGCAAATGAGGGCATTTTTAGCTAAATGATACCTCACAGAAAACACAGAAGGTCCCACCCTGAGAGTTGGTTTCTTAAGTTTGTGATGTGTGAAAGCCTGGAAGTCTGAATGTGTTTCTGTGACTGTCATCAGGTGGAAATGTCCAGACACAGTGTTTGACTGCTTATTTAAAAAACAGCATATGGACATGTTAACGGGGTGAAAAACTTCATTTTCACCGGAGGGAGTCTTTGTTTTCATCTTGACCTGCTCCTGAGGAAAACATGTGAACGCTGCAGCACATCCTGATGTTGGAGTCTTTAACCACAGCAGACACACTGCAGTGTTTCACCACCATACAGTTCAATGCAGTCGCATGTAAATAAAAAATACACACTGTACAGAACACACGTCAGTGTAAATGTATAAAATCCAATAATATGTGCATTTGGAGTCTTATTAATGATAAAACATCAAGTCATATCGTCACAGGTTGTTGCCAAATGTCAATGTGTTTTTTTTTAGATGTTTCACTCTTTGACAGACCTCGAATCAAAACCATTCACATTTGGCTCCATCCATACTGATCTGCTTATCCAAACTCAGGTTGTGATGGCAGCAGGAGGAGCGAGACGTTCCAGGCGTCTCCTCCCTCCCCGGCTCTGCCTGGGGGATCCTGAGGCCTTCCCAGGCTACGTAATCCCTACAGCAGGTCTGGGTCCACCCCGAGGCCTCCTTTCCGTTGGACATGCCTGGAAAACCTCCAAAGGACGGCACCCAGGAGGCATCCTAATCAGATGCTACGACCACCTCAGCTGACTCTAATTCTCCTCTGAACTCCCTCCAGATGCCTGAACTCCTCACCCCGGCTCTGAGGTCGAGCCCAGACACCCGACACATGAACTCATTCATGAACAGTCTACATCTCTGTTCGACACCATCCAGAGCTCCTGACCACAGGTGAGGACTGGAGCGTAGACTGATGAGCAAACAGCGAGCTTTGCCTTCTGGCTCAGCTCCCCTGATGCTACTCTCGTCCATCTGTCCATCTCATGCTTTCCATTTATCCTGAGACACTAAAACTCCTCTGCTTGAGGGAAGCAACTCACTCCCAACCTGGAGGAGGCAACCCCTCATTTATGAATATAAAATCAATCACAGCCCAGAAAGCACTTCCTGCTGTTAATGTGGGTTTTATTGTATGTGATGCAAACTGATTTTTAAGCTTTATCCTGGGCATTAGTGGATGACATTGTATTTCCTGCTTGTTGGGATCTCTCAGGCCACACGGGGCGTCGCCCACGCTCAGAGGACAACATGGTGCACAGTCAGCAGTTTACATGGAAGTCAACATGACGCACGACTTTGATGAAAATCCCCAAAGAGTTTATTGAAGATGAATAGTTTACAACAATCCCAAAACATCCCTTTAACTTGAAGCAATGAATCAGATGATGTTGTTTTTATTATTTTCTTTCATGTTCTTTGCATGTGACACGCGTGTCAGAAAACTCAGCAGAGTTAGCTCACGTCACAGATGACAGAGATGCATCCACGTGAACAGCAGCAGGTCAAAGGACGACGTAAAGACCAGGAAGTCTGTCTTTAGTATATTGGAATGATCTCAGTGGTGCATTTGCATGAAGCAGGGCACCAGGCAGCCACGTACTTGTTGCTGCACCCGGTTGTATTTTTCATGGCTGGACAGTTGATGTACTTGTTTATGTAAGGACACGGGTTGGCTGAAACAACACAACAGAAACAGACAGAGATGAGCTCATTAGCCTGATCGTCACCATCACAAGCCCTGATGATGAAACATCACATCTGGCACATGGAGAACACACAGAGTCTGTTACTTACTGCAGAGTTTGTCGTCACAAGCATCTGGACAGGAGCCACATGAGGGTCCCGCTTTGTACGGCTCATAAGGTTCAAAGTTTCCTCTGTTAAAAGAAAAGGAGAGTTTTTACTTCGCCTCATCTAACTGTGACACAAAAAACTAAACACATACATAGATTAACGCTTCAGTTTTTCTCCACAAAGAGTGCAGAAGGTGTCACGTACGCTCGGTAGTAATGGCAGCCGTAGAAATAGATGCCGTTGGGGCAAAGTGTTGCTCCGCAGCCGACCTTGTACGAGCTGTTCCACACCACCTGAAGACAGAGGAATCGCTTTTAGTGCTGCTGCAGGTCATCAGTCAGGTCACCAGGGTGTAAACAGCACGTTTCCAATACAGAAATAATAATAGTAATAGAAAGAAGAAATAGAAAGGAGGTTAAGTGCTCCCAGTTTCCCATAACATACTAAATTAACTGGTTTATTCACATTTGCAGTTTGTAGAGTTCTACAGAGGTGCTGATTGCATAAACGCTGTTGTTACTTTATCAGGTTTTCTTGAGATACCTGGAAAATATATTTAGCTGAGTTCGTTGATTTATAGCGAAAGTATTCAAAATGGCACATTTATTTTGCTGAAGGACACAAATAAATCTTGTGTTTCTACTTTAATTTCTTTTCCCCGTTTGATTTTTTGGGGATATGAATCCTCTGGTGAATGCAGGATCGGTCACTTCTGCTCTGTTCAGTAAATTCACCATAAAACAGGAAAAACAAAAGGACAGAAAAACTCCTCACCTGTCATGACACCAGAATCACTCAGGAGCTACGTTATGTGTTTATGTACCAACGGTAGAGCTTTGGGGGATATTGATCCTGGATCTATTGGATTTTTTACACACATGCACCTTGTACATGTTGTTCTGTTTCATTCTGTGTGACTCTTCTATTATTTTATATTATTCAATACATGTGGACTCATCGAGCACTTTATTAGAAACACCCGTTCACTTGCTCATTCATGCAAATGCACAATCCTCTAATGCACCATGTCACAGAGCAAACGTCATCTCAGAGGCCTCCGTGGTCACCAGATCTCCATCCAGGAGAACGTGTGGTCAAACCAGACATCTACAGCTGACACATCTGCAGGAATGATTGTGTCGACATGGAGCAGAATCTCTCAGGAATGTTTGAATCAGTGGTACCAAGAACTGAGCAAACCGAATGTCCCACGGATCAGTCCGGCTGATCCCAGCACAGCGTCAGCCCGTCTCAGCTCGACTTCCAGCGTTCGCTCCTCTTCTAGCTGTTTCTGATCTTCGCTCCTCAGAGATCTATATCTGGCTCAGGACTGACTGCTCTGCTTTGTTTGGCTGAAAAAACGCCGTGAGATCAGCGAGACTTGAACCAAGACAGTAAATGTACAGAAAAGAAAACAAACGAATGTTCACGATCCACAGAGGTTCAGGTGCAAGCAGTCATCTGATCCATTGCTGATATAAAACATTTCCGCTTTAATCAAAAAAAAGAAAGAAGAAAAAAGAAAGAAAGCAGGAACCATCACGTAAACATAAGCAGCAGCTGTTCTGTCCAACCCGCCGGTACCTGAGTGTAGTGGCCGACGGTTTCTCCGTTGGAGGATCCGGTGGGGTATGTGTAGTGCGACACCTCGTTGTGCCAGGCCTGGATCACGTCCGTCCACGAGGTGAGAGCAGATGAATAGAACAGATTCTCACCTAATTCATATCCTGCAGGACGGTGGGAATCACAGAACGGCAGCACTGATTAATGGGCGTCTACAAATACACCACTTTGTTTTTATATGCCAGCAGATTAAGTTATTTAGATAAAACAGGGTTCATTAAAAGGCCTATTGATAGCAATCTCCTCAGCGATAACAGATCCTGTTCTGTGTAATGTGTTATTAAAGGAGGGTATTAAGAGTGAAGATAAGATAATGTTCGCCGTGACTCTGACCATCAGTCACAAGGTTGTTCAGCTCACAGGGAAGCTTTGCACCCAAAGCATCTCGGAGGTTTTATTTGAGGCATACGTGGTGCAAAAAAAAGGAAGGAAACAACGAGAGAAGGGATAAAAGGAAGCAGGAACATACCGTTGAGCATGCGGGTGCTGGGCGCTCCATGAGCCAGTTCACACTTGTCGATCCAGGCCTGAGCGCTGGCCGCGACCTCCTCACTGTAGTTCTGCAAGAGACGGATGGACTTCAGTAAAAACATCCACTCTCTCTCTGTCCTTCATTTGGGATTTGAAACATAACATAAATAGAAAAAGAGAAGTTTCAGAATATATCCACTCCTAAGATGTAAAGCGGTTTTGACTGATGTGGCTTTGAAACGAGCAAATGTTCTGCTCAAGCAGCTCGAAGCCAGAACTGAGATCCAGAACAAACATGTGATCTTTCTTTTGACTCTCCTGCTGAAACCGAACACCTCACGACAGACAGCTCGTTTGGAAAAAGGACACAGAAGGACAAAAAGTCTTTATTCTGCTAACTGCTGGGTTGAATAAGTTGACTTTATCCCAAGATGTGACACGTGTGATGAACAGATTTGATTTAACTGTGACAGTCAAGAGTTGTCATAATTCAAATATGGATTTGAGCTGCTTGCATCAGCATAGATCCAGAGCAGGGGTTCTCTTTCCTCACAACTACAGTTAAAATCTGCTATTTCCAATCAGTTCTAAAACCCCAGCTTTGGGAGCCACTGGTTCCCAATTAAGTCTGAGTCAACATCATTACCGTCAACCTCTGCAACAGTGATTTTGAAAAGCAGCCAGTGGCTTCTATGGTTTCAGATCGCTGAGTGAGGCGCAGTAGCCCTCACCCTGTCCATTGTGTTTTTTTTTCCTCTCCTACAGGCGAGTGACAACAAAAGCTGGTAAATATTAGCAAACACTCTGTGAGCCACTTGGATTGTTTGAGCAGAAAGCAGAGCTGACCATTCTCAGCATGTTGGAGGCCGTGGGCTGGACCGCTCTCCTGAAGCCGTTGTGCGTGTTCACGATGTCGGACTGAGCCGCTGTGTTGTTTGGGCAAATGTCTGCACACACACACACACACACACACACACACACACACACAGATAGACATGCACACACATTAAGACCGATGTGTAAACACCAGATTAAAGACACAATAAGGACTGATATTTACTCTGGCGGTTTCATATCCATGATGTGACTCACAAACATATCCTGGTTTAATTGCTCTGAGATGGCTAGACATAACAAAGGAACACACAGAGGAGACTCGGCCAAATCCTCTAATCGCATCGGGAGACTTAGCGGCATGGTTTTAGTTAATGCTAAGAATGAAACATCTCAGTAAAGTTAAACGTGTGTGCTTACCTTGCTGTGGACACAGCACGGCGCAGAGCAGAGGACATGCAGCAGAGGAGAGACAATTCTGGTTAATTTCTCATCAGTGAAGCAGAGCAGAGAGTAAAAATACTTAAATAACCTAAATATTACTGGAACTACTTGATAAACTCCCAACACCCAGCTCTCATCTCCAAACTAACACTACAAACCCTTTATGGTTCCCACTGGTCCCTGAAAGCATCCAAGGTTATTTTCCATGCTGAAACAAATATTGTTTATATATATATACAATTATACTAGAAGGCCCTACAGAATAGAGTCTGGAAATGGATCATGATTTATTATCTCATCATTTATTTTGCATGGAAAAACTAATAAAACAAAGCTGCCAGATTCCAAGAGAAGCAAAAAAAATAAAAAAAAACCCACAATACTGCAGTCTAAAACACAGCTAAACCTGAAAAAGAAAGACCATGAGTACACGATTGGTACGTCATGCTCTGTGATTTGGTGGTAGACGTGTTTCTAGCCTTGTAATAAAGTCTATTGCAGCGTCTTATAAAATCTAAAAACCTGATTTCACTTCTACTCACCAGATTACAGGCGGCATGCACTTGATGCACGGCCAGGATGCAAATCAGAATTCCAAGCATTTTTCCAACGAAATGGAAGAAAACTTCTGAATAATGAAGCTGCAAAACAGAAATTCAAGTTTTATTGTGAGAACACAGATCAGTTCACACATAAACGACATTTGTAACTGAATTCATCTCCTCGACCTGAATGCCAGTGAAACTGTTAAAGAAGAGAAGGCATTAAAACCAAAAGCATTTCTTGCTGTTGAAGTGAAACGAAGCTTCTCCTCTTGACAGCTGGATGGTCTTCTTACATAAATCTATTTGTCATCAAAACATTTTTAAAGATGCTTAAAATAAGTTGAAGGAAACCTCTGAGCTGACATACCTGCACCCAGGGTTTCAGGAGGAGGAGGTGAGTTGGCACTTTTCTCTCCCTCCTTTTATAGATCCAGCTCAGCTGCTCGCTATACAGAAGAATATAGCACATCCCCCCTGGGCTCATAATGATGCAGCAGAATCCAGGGCTTTAAAGACCGGGAGCCGGACAAAAACAAGTTTATCACAAGACACTGAAGAGGCTTTTTCTTCCAAACAGTTTAACTGACAGGGGAGTAAACAAGGAATTGTTAAGCCCGGGGGTGTAGCGACTACCTGATGTATGGGCTCGTGTTTGCAGAGCACATAGTGGAAAGTCTTCTGAGGTCAAGGTAAACAGAAGAAATGGAGTCACGGTAGATTACAAGACAGAGCTGCATGGTCCAGTGTGTGTATGGATTAAAGTCACGCAGCTGGTGTGGGCACAAAACGCACCCAGTGCTTGCTTTGGCACCGGCCGATTCTGATCGACGTGTAGGAAAGGGAAGAAGGAGATCTTTCATAGAACTGTTTTTGTAGCTTTGTGTTTATTATCAGCCGGTGCAGAAGGACTGTATGTGTGGCTGCTGGTTCTTACATAAACCTGCAGAACTTTGGTCTCCCTGCATCCAGCAGGAAGAGGCTGATCAGAAAGTTCAGAGACTGTGTCTATAAAAATCAAACACTTGATGCAGGTTCTGCCATCACCCCCTCAAGATGGTCTTTTCATGCAGCAACACGCCGCCTGCAGAGTTTCTGCAACGCTTATAACACACCTTGGAAGTCCTTGTTATGTAGCCAGCATGATTCAAACAGCAATCCTTCAACTTGAATTTCATTTTGGAGAAGAGGTCACAAGGAAGTCATACATCTGGCCAGTAAGGCAGATGGAAAGCCATGATGGTGTTGCTGTGAGCAGGAACACAGCACATGGGAGCATCACCATGCTATCATGCAACATCTCAGGGCGCCGAATGTTCTCCTGCAGACACCTCAGGACAAAACAGCAGAGCTCTGCAGGACAGTCCAGCCCTGAGGGACCAATTCCTGGAGCACAACCACACACATGTTGAAGAAAACATGAAGGTTCCTTCTGTGGTCTGAACTGTGAAGCAGGGTTTAGGGTTAGCGAGGTACCGTCAGGTTTAACTCTTCAGGATTTTGAAGATGGTTCACTTCTTACTTATCGCCATGTTAAAGCACGCTGAACATCTAATAACCTTCTCAGATGATCGATCAACAGTCTACGGACCAATCAGGTCTCTCAGAAAGCAGCTTCAGCTAGAAAGTGCTGCAGAGCTCGTCTCTGAGAGGGTTTTAGAGCCACGTCATTCCTCTACAGGCTTAAAATCCTAAAACATACCGATAAAGCACGAAATCCTAGAATTTCTAAACTTTGTAAGATTTACAGTGAACCTTCTTCTTATCAGGTTTAATTATAGATGTATTTATTTTATATATTTATTCTTTATTTGTGTCTAAAACTGGGTTGCAGGTGTCTCAGTGGTTAGCACTGTTAGCGTCTCACAGCTAGAAGGTCACCGGTTGGCGTCCCGGTGAGGACACCCGGGATCTTCCTGCGTGGAGTCTCCATGTTCTCCCCGTGCAGCGTGGGTTCTCTCCGGGTTCTCCGGCTTCCTCCCACAGTCCAGAAACATGCTGAGGTTAATTGGTGATTGTAAATTGTCCGTAGGTGTGAATGTGAGTGTGCTTGGTTGTCTGTCTCTAAGTGTAGCCCTGTGATAGACTGGTTACCTGTCCAGGTGAACCTGCCTTCACCCTGAGTCAGCTGGGATAGACTCCGCCCCCCATGACCCTAGTGAGGATGAAGGTGTAGAGATGATGGATGGATGAAGGTATTGTATATGTGGTATGATCTTGTGCTCAAACAAAGGTTGAATAATTAACCTACATCTAAGTACCTTATAAATAATTAAAACTTTATTCAGATTGTGCCTCATATGATGATATGATCGATATTGATCAGCTGATTGAGTGGACAGCTTTCCTTCACGGTTTTAGTTGCAGCTGCGTAACAGGACAGCTGCTTTCAGCATGTGTGCATGTCATGCTGGTTTGGGATTATAGTTTGTTCTCCATCTGATAAATATGCAGCCGATCAGGCGTCAAACCTGCCGTGTTGATGATTCGTCATCCGGTCGTCAGGTTTATTGAAGCAAGTTAACAAAAAGATATCCTCAGTGTGCTGAACAGGCCTCTGGTGTTCTGACCTGATACATCTGCCCAGTCTGGGAGGCTGCAGCTCTTTCACAGGGAACATTTCCTCTCCTGGCAGCACCTGCACATCCACCTCTCGTCACCAGCGATGATCTGTAACACAAAGATCGGATCATCCAGCTGCTGACTGACACAAGATGTGATGTTCGCTCTTCTGGTCCAGCTTTAGTTCCACGCAAAAATCATAAACATGCACCTACCAATGACACCGGTCCTGTTTTTGATTGTGGTTCCTCTTGATGCTGAGCTTCTTTTTTATGCTTCCTACCACAACACTCATGGTTGCTGTGGCCTGCTCCATCTCCGTTGCTTCCCTCCTCACATCTGCCAAACCGATCATTGCTGATAGGGATGTTTAGGCCTCTCATACGCCTTCCTAAGTGCACGTTTTTTTTTTTTTTAAACTCTGGTTTGTGTGTATCTGTGAGGACATATAAAACCAGGAGTTGGAGACGCCACATTTCAAACTCTGCTGATGCAACAGTGGTTTGGTCGGCGCTGGAGCACCGAGCTTGGCATCGCTGCACCACTTCACTGGAACACAAAAGCGTCTGTGTTTGCATCCACATCCACACTGTTAGGTCCACATGCTGGGTTTTTTTTTTTTTTTTTTTTAAACATACGTGGAAGAATATCCGTATTAGTGCGGACAAGGCCTTAAAACTCCAGTGTGCTGTGAGATTTACCTGGCGCCAACAGGCTTAATCAGCATTGTGTGAATTCGTTTGACAAGGGCTTGAATATAACAGAGGTCCATTTATATGTAAGTTCAGCTCTAAATAGAACAAATACAGGAATGTGCAGAAAGATTGTCACTGAACCTGCAGCACAGGCTCAGAGGCAAAACATGAAATAATAGGTTTTAATTGTAATCAGGTGAGTCCTTTCTCTGGAAAACTCTGGAAATGAGGCACCTGAAGCCGCCGTAATCAATGTTCTTATATGAACAATACATCAGACTGCTACATGTGGCATAAAAGGTCAAGGACAAGGAGTGGAGGGAGTGTTTCAGACACATTTAACCATTAGTTTCATTTGTTTTATTCTGATGTCAGATCAAAGTCCGGCTGCGTGAAACGCAGAAGCAGCTCAGATACGCACCAACAAAGCAGAACTATTATCTCTGAGCATCCTGGTTCTCAGCACATTCTTCTCCGTTGGTCTTGATTATGGGTCCTAATGCACAATGAGCATTATGCTGCCATCGGCCCGTCGCTCGCTGCCTGATTGTTACGCAGCACAATGTGCAGCTGGAGTCAGAGCAACACAGCAAACAATAAGCTGTCAATAAACTTAAGATATTATTGTGTAGTTCTGAATGTCGTGTTCTTTTTTTTGTCTTTTGCTTTGAAAAGAAAAATCTCAGGACCACATGTGTTCTCTGGTTTAATGTCTATGATCTATAAATACCGACTGACCAACGATCAGCGGCCTGAGACGGTTTATGCTTCAGTTTGTTTACATCTTGGAGGTTTTTTTTGTCGTACGCGCTGCATGTTCTATCATGTTCTAAAATGATCTCAGAGAACACGACTGCTTCCACCTGTTGTAATCACTGCTACATCTAAACACGATTAACTGCTCAGTGTTCCTCTGCAGCCTCCTTTTGTCTTGACCTCGGGTTTATTTACTGTTGGAGAGGAAAAGTTGGTTCTAATTTAATCTGAGAATGTCGATGACACGACGCGGTGGCACGACGGAGCGAAACTTTTAGCGAAACACGGACATGCTCGTGTTGAACATCTTAGTTTATTGTGTTTGCATGCCGACTAAACACAGACGTACTGCTGAGGCTGATGGGAACAGACGTCTGACCACCTCTGTTTGGCAGCTCCAGCCAGCTGTACACCTGGTTTAGGTTGAATACAGGCCTGCTTCGTGTTTTTGTCCACTTTGAGTTTTGTTGAAATGTTTAAAGGCTGTGAACAATCAGTGTGCTCCGGTCGCCTGTCCTCATCTGGAGATCTGCTCTCCTTGACCTGAGATGCACCTGATGTCGCTGCATTTTGCTGCAGAGAACCAGGTTCATGCTTGTTTCTACTTAAAACGTTTGACCAGCTTGTGCTCCAGTTTAAAAAACGTGCAGTTTCACACAAAGACACTAAACCCGTCCTAAGTCATGTCTTCACCTGGTACCTGGTATCTGACTCGCCAGCTGACTGCGTGGCATCCAGACGTGTTTTTTGTTTTCCGTGTGCCACTGTTGACTGAGGGATGAAGGACAGCATAACCCTAACCTACTATCTACTTACTGTCAACATGAGCAGCTCACCGTGGATTTGTCTTAATGCCGTTAAGCAGACGGATGAAGCACAAAGCGCACACACAGAAACAAAACGATATGACCAGAAACTAGGAAAGATACTGCATTAAAAAACTGAATATGAAATAAAATAAAAAAGGATTGAGAACAGGATAAGATGGAACTCTTGCAGTGCAAAATAAAGCTGAATGTTAAAAATTAAGAGCAGAAGTCCTGAACAGGTCCAGGCCTCCTGTTCTCGTCCTGAACAGGTCCAGGCCTCCTGTTCTCGTCCTGAACAGGTCCAGGCCTCCTGTCCTCGTCCTGAACAGGTCCAGGCCTCCTGTCCTCGTCCTGAACAGGTCCAGGCCTCCTGTCCTCGTCCTGAACAGGTCCAGGCCTCCTGTCCTCGTCCTGAACAGGTCCAGGCCTCCTGTCCTCGTCCTGAGGACTCACTGTGAAGCATTACTGCAGACGGCAGGAAGGACTTCCTACAGCAGAGTTAAAACAGCAGACTTATGAAATGATCTTCAAGTGGTATGCTGTTCACACACAGCCCCATGACTGATGTATT